CACGGGTGGCGTGGAAGCCCAAACAGCGTTTGCACTGTTCAATTTGGCGACGAGGCTGGATCTTTGTAGCCGCTCCGGACTCGTCGAGAATTCGGAAGCCCGCACGAGGGGCGGAGTCCCGGTTGAAAAGGGCATACCAGTTTCTGTATGGCGCTCCAGGACGACATGTCCCTTGCGGTCGCACCTGGCATGGACGTCGTTGTGTTTTGCGGTAAATCTCCAGTGAGATCCTACCGGCATCGACCGTCTCAATACGGTTGATTAATTTTATAGTCGCTGGAACATTCGCGATCCGAAAGGCGACAAGGTTGGAGGCTTCCTCGATTTTGGCATTGAAGTCCGACAACTTCGGTGAGGCATCTAAGAGCTCTTCCCTTTCATTTTCATCCGCTGTCAGAATCGCAAATCCGGTTCTGACACGGTGTATAGAGCTTTTTTCACTCAATGTGTACAGTAGCCTACAACATAATTGATGCCGTATGCCGTCAGGCGAAAGCTGACGCCATGGGTGATCGCTCTCTAAGCGAAGGAACAGTCGTTTGTTGGCTTTAGCCTTCGGGGCTTCTTTATTTTGGGCTTTTGCCGCAGGTCGCGGAACAGCCTTTACAGTTGGGACTGCTTTTTGTTGCAGTCCATTTCTGGCCACCGAGGCCCAGGTGCCTTTTATAGGCAGCGCTGGGACGGCGGAAATCGTTGTGCTCCTGACGTCGGGAGCCCTTGGGATCGGGTTCGCCGGGCGAGGAGGGAGGACGGGTGGCGTGGAGGCCGGGCCCGTGGCCATATATTGCGCGATGGCTGCGCGTAGGTAGACTCTCATCGAGTCTACAAATTGTCTGTTTGACCCGTTGGTCAAAGGAAGAAGGGTGACTTCGACGCCAGAGATGGCGGCGGAACAGAGGGCCAGATTTGCCGCTGTTTCGGCGGCACGTCGTTGCTCGGCTTCGATAATGGGTCGAAGTTCCGGAGGGCAATCTGCTTTCGTGGCAGCTTTGGGCTGCGACGTTGATTTTGACGCTGCTTTGGGTGCAGCGTTCTCCGACAGTTTTGGCGCGGTCGGGGGAGATTTTGACGATTCTCCAATCCCGTGGGGGACGGAGGATGGTTGAGGAATTTCCTCAATAATTTCGACTGACCCGATCATGTCAGTATCGGGCTCAGTGACGGTAGGGAGGGCTTTTTCCTTCCCTTTGGTAGAGACGTTGCTCATCTCCGCGCATTTCGGAGACTGGGCAAGGCCAGGTAATTGTTGGAGAGCCCTCGGGTGGACTCTCGTGTTGTCCAACTTGACGTTGGGGCGCTTTTTGCGAACTGGAGGCATGGTGAAATGCCTGAGCTCGATCACAATTCAGAGATAGATGCGACGAGGTCGAGAAGGGAGGAAAGAGGGAAAAAATGAATTTTCGAATTTTCGAATTTCTCGAATTGATGAAGAGTTTGGTTGTTGAGTTTTCTATGATTTCTGTGTTGGGATACACTATGTCGATCCTACTAGGCTCGATGATTAGTAGTCCCGACCGACTGGTGTTTGGCGAATGGAGATTGCGTATACCCTGTGCTAGCGTTTTTTTTTTTTTTTTTTTGAATCATTTAATGTGTATTCAGCTATCTAGCTATGACACATGACCGGTGCTATGTATACATATTGGATGACTCTTTTGACATTAGAGACACTCATACTCTGGATTTCATTTGCAAATACCACTATGAGGTATGTTTGCTTACACAAACAGTCGACCCTCCTCCGTTAGTACCCACCAAAGGGAATTTAAAAACCTTTAGTTATCCAAGCATGCCTTCGTCATCCATGCATACCAGCGCCGCGAGAAATGTGGTTATATTTTGCCGGATTTGAACCAGCGATCTACTGTCTCAAGTGGGATATGTGTTCAAGCTATCCAGACTCTACTTGGCAGACCGGCCAAGACGATGTACCACCGCACCATCCAACTAAAGCGGTGTTTATAGTGTCGCCTGCACTCTCGCAACCAAAGTCTTGGCGCGCACAAAGCTCAATTTGTAAAACTCCTTTCCAAAATTCAAAATTCCACGCCCGTCGAGACTGTATCCAATCCTCTGCATCATCTTATTAACTTGTCCTGATCCCTCTCACATCCATTCCAAGGAATTATCTTCCAGATTTGTGCGCCACGCTTTGCTTCCTCCGTGGGGTGTAAATATCGGCGTGGGCGTGTATCTGGCGACCAGCTAAGGCCAGAGAAAGTCGACAAGAGGTGTGGTCATTGGGATTAGGATGTACTAGGTCGTACTTGTAAACTTGATGAGGTTTAGGTAGGAATCGATTTCGTTGGGAGTGAAAGATTGATATGGTGGAGTAATTTGAATCATTGCCTCGTGGGCCAACTTGTTTGGTATTGCGAAGTTTGACTGAACTTGGCTCTGGGAGAATATTTCACTCCCAGGTTCGTAGAGGACACCGCGTACAGGTGTTCAGTCTTGCCCTCCTGTGCTAGCGTTGTCTACTGCTGTTAATAGGAGATCCCGCACGGGCTATCTATTGGGGTTTAAAGGAGTCTGGTACCTGTGCATAATAGAGTAGTCGAATTGACATCCTTTTATCCTTCATTATTGCATAAGCTTCCCTTTACCAATAAAGTCCACGAACTAATTAGTGGGTTATACATTTCAATAAGGAGGGCTTCTTTTGTCGAAGAGTCAACGGCACTCCCCAGCACCCTGGACGGTACAAAAGAAGTTGGGCTAAGCTGCCATACAGCAATCACGCTCTGTCAAGAATTTTCTGACATTTCGGCACGACCTTCGGGAAGGAGTTGGAAGGAGGCTAGAAAGGCAGAGTGTGAATTCTCTGAGGTACCCACAAGTCTGCAGCGCCCAGCTGGCCGGCCTCTTCGAACGCTTCGAAAGGATCATTATGTCTTCGCATTTAGTCCTAAAGTCGATATTAGAGGAGCTCGGCGCCTAGTGGTTTTTGCGGCTTTTCCCGGCTACCATACACCCGCAAATGGCCATCGTTTCATTGGCTGGATAGGGGAGATGATGAAGGGCAAAGGGTTCCTCTAAGTGTATGATCGAATAAGTACCTGTGAGATGCAGTACTGTTTGAGGGTAGCTGTATGGGAGGCATAGGAGGAGATATACTATTGGTATAGATATCCCTGGCCTGTAGGTAGAGAGGACCTGCATGTCCTACATAGTCATAAACTCAGATAGGACAATAAAATGAAAAAAAAAACCGCCAGAACAGATCTGGGGTTTTCTCAAAGCAACAGCCAAATCCACTAACGTGAAACTAGATAGGGGAGGCCGTGTTGGAGTCTTGTCTTTTTGTTTGTCTAAGCTGACTGACCCGGTCTCGACCCGTATCCATGCCCTGATCGGCATGTTAACCACAAGTTACAAATCCAACGCCCTTGCGTTCATTTTTCACCAAAACACATACCCAAAATTAGTCCACAAATAACACCCAACTCTTAGCAAGAGTAGGCGTAACAACACTTTACAACGAGCTCCTACCCCAATCATAACCTCTAAAAGTTGATCCCGTCTGACACTAGCACGCTCAGAGGAATTGCCGATGACTATTTCACGAATTGTCAGTTGTTCTTCAAGGTATTATTCATGATGCAATGTACGTTACCGCTGATGGATGTGATGCAAAATACTATGGGGACACCGGGATCAATTTCTTCTCAAAGACGAACATTGGGAGGTAGTTGGGTTGGGATGACAGGGGACAAGCGCGTACCAAGTGCTGGGCGCGTGGTCGCAAAACTTGAGGGGGATGCAGCGCTTTAATGCGGTGTGAAGGTCAGTCTCGTCATAGTTCGGCCAATGTAATAAACTCTAGCTACTTCAAGCAATAGGATGGGTAGGAAGAAGTTCTGGGGCCTTCAGTAGGACTTAATCGAGTCATGGTAAAGAAGACATTGGCTCCTCAGCATCTTGGAATCTGAAGTAGACTATTTTCCAGGCCGGACCAACAGAACGGGGCAAAATTAAAATTCGAATGCTGGAACGATCCACCATCCGATCCAACATTGATTTTATTTCAATTTTTGCATTCCGTTTGTGCCAGATGGTATATCCCACGCTTTACCTGACCCCGTTGCACTAAGCAGCGCTAACATACAAACGAATATCTTTTATCCCCGGGCCGGTATAGTCTTAGACTGGGAGAGAAATTTAATACTTTAATTTCCCCGGGGTCCTATCTCCTCTATATCCTCATAAAGTACGAATTGAATCTCGGGAGACAACTAATTAAAAATACACTATTTTTTAATTGATATTCAAGGCCAGGGAGTGCAATTTTTTGTAGGCACTGAAATTCTTCAAAATCGGATAATACGCCTCGCTTGTTACCAAATAAAGTCGTACAATTTGTTGTGTCTTGAGTCCATCGGATGATGGGATTGAGGCTTGGAGGTCAGCGACGAGGGGGGGCGCGCTGAATCCCAGAATGGCAATAATTTAACTGATACGGAGGTTCTCCCTAACTATGCGAATAAGCGAGTGGGGAATCTTGTTGCTTGAAACGCTGGCGGTATCCCGCGAGGTCTCATTGCTCCGATTCGTTATAGGGTGTGACATTTTGAGACTTGCGTTGATTGTCAGGTGTTGCCGTTTCTACACCAGCTGGAATGTAGACCAATCAACACTTGACCTTGTATGGCTAGCGCCATCATCACAAGAAGCATTATGTGGTCCGCAATTTCTGTTCACCCGCAATCACATTATTTTCAAGCCGAAGTTGACTCAATCACTAGTCGCTCTCCGCCCTAAACTTCTTCACTTACCTGCCCTCAGGCCGCACGTAAACTTCAAGATCAGATTCCATTAAATTGCGAATCAGGCCTTTGGAAAGGTACGCTGCTGAATTTTCATTCATCTAACGAGCCTCGGACGTAGATCCGAAATTCATCCTAGCCTACAAATTAACCTTTGCTTTCTAGCCATAATCATCTAAGTAGCTGACCTACTCTAACTCAACTGTTATCAAGAAAAGTCAATACGATACAGAGATGTCTTCCCCTCACGATCTTCGCGACAATGGCGACGAGTACGTCAATGGTCTATCAAACCATAATAACACAGAGGAGCGACTCGGGCCCGACGGTGATGTACTTCCAAAGACAGACGAAGAATATGTCGAATCCCAAATGACTCTACGTGCTATTGTCTCCTCCAAAGAAGCAGGTATCATCATAGGTAAAGGTGGTAAAAATGTTGCAGATCTCCGTGATGAGACTGGTGTGAAAGCTGGGGTCAGTAAAGTGGTTCAAGGTGTGCATGATCGTGTGCTGTCAATCACTGGGGGCTGCGAAGCCGTGTCCAGGGCGTATGCCACTGTTGCGCGGTCACTTCTTGAAAGCGCATCTTTAGTGACTATGTCAAATCTGGTGTCTAGCTCTGGATCTCACCGTGAGGCCCCACCCAGCACTCATTCACTATAACTAACTTTATCTGAAGCTATGAAACTGTTAATATCTCACAATCAGATGGGCACCATCATTGGCCGTCAGGGTATGAAGATTAAACATATACAAGACGCATCAGGAGTTCGTATGGTTGCTCAAAAGGAAATGCTTCCTCAATCTACAGAACGGATAGTTGAAGTTCAAGGAAGCCCTGAAGGGATTCAAAAGGCTGTCTGGGAAATCTGCAAGTGCTTGATCGATGATTGGCAGCGAGGCGCTGGCACTGTGCTTTATAACCCCATTGTTCGCACTCAACCCGGCGCAAATATTTCTCACAGCCCAATAAATGGTCGCACTGAATACAATTCTCGCGTCACGCGTACTGGAAATGGTGCTGATTTCAGCGATGGTGCGCCCCACTCCTACAATCGTCGCACAGAACCCAGTAATGGCGGTCAGCGCGGTCCACCTACGCATGACGAAAATGGAGAAGAGTTACAAACTCAAAATATCAGTATTCCCTCTGATATGGTTGGATGTATCATTGGGAGAGCTGGCAGCAAAATCAGCGAGATACGGAAGATTTCCGGAGCAAGAATCAGTATTGCAAAGGCACCTCATGATGATACTGGAGAGCGTATGTTCACAATCATGGGTAGTGCCAAAGCCAACGAGACCGCTCTATATCTCCTATATGAAAATCTCGAGGCCGAAAAGATGCGTCGAAGTCAGGATAGTAGTCAGGAGTAGAGACGACGTCACTGCACCATACGAAAACTTCTTGCTAATGACAAGTCTACTAGATTCTTCAGGTCTGTCTTACCGCGAGATTTAAATCGCAGATACACTCAGTGAGCTCGTTTCATTTAAGTGAACGGGCGACTACCTCATCCAAAGAAGCGTTGCACATTACACAATCTTATGTTCCTCTATTTACGGGCTTCGCAAATTGTTGGTTATCAGCGGGCACTGATGATCTACGTTAGCTCATGCTTCATCTAACCTCTTAACCCAGGGTGCTCCAAATGAACGATTCTCTATCTCGGGACAACGACATCCTGTCTCATTCTATTCGTAAATCCGAACTCCATCCTAGAATGCACGAGAACCGTCATAATCTCGTCTGACATGCAACTACTACAACTAAACCGAGCCATACATCAACCCTAACTACCACCAATTGCTTAACTCGTCTCTTACTCTCCCACACAATCATAGAATTCTAAATGTTCTCATATCGCTACGCCTGCTCAAACCTGCATCTTTCAGAAACCGTCTATAAAGACACAAGGTCCATCGGCCGCCATGTATCCCATGTTAAAAATCTGATATTTGCAGAATTTTAGATAATTTAGTCGCAAGAACCTGGCCGAACAGAAAATAAATTGTTTCATAAACATGCATCGCCATGATTAAGGCAGCAAATCCTAATTTTTCAACCCTAGATCGTTGTTTGCTCAAAATTTGCCGTTTTTCAATTTTTATGCCTCTATTCCCACGAGGTGCTTGTCAAACGCCGATTAACAAACCAAATGTTCCTAGACGGTACAATAGTAGCCGGGCAGCTGACGCGTAAAATTTCTACCCTCCATCAAATCTATTTATTTAGCCAAGTTATCGAAATTGAGTTGAAAGTCTTTATCTCATTCTTCATTCTAACGGATCACCAGCAGATAAGCTTACAATTCACAAACCGAGCTTCCCATTTGATCAGTGTCTCCCCTCTTCTCAAAGTCAATGCAGAGATGACCGTGTCAACATAACTCCTAGCATGCTTATTCTCCTGTGGTTGTTCGTATTTAACATAGATAACTAAAAGCTACTTTGTCTAGGATAAATGTGATCAGGGATATATCTACACTTAGTATCGTAAGCGCAGTCGAATGCAAAGCTGACCATGACTGGCAAAGAGTTAATGTACATGTTACATCTTACAGCCTTGAATCTCTGTCTCGGGCTGGAAAGTGGTGATAATGCGCTTGTCAAGCGTTTGAGTTGATAGACGCTACTAACTGCAATCATATAAGAAAGTCTCATCTAGCTTATAATGACTATTGCTGTGGCAACCAAGAACATTAAATTCCACCCGTCAATTTAAAATACCACGTAGCGAGTCCCGAGCGATATTTAGCACCCCGTCAGGGATTAGGTCTTCTCATGTTCAAATTAAGGGTCCGAATTTTAGGGCTCCATCATCAGAGTCAGTGATCCCTGTAAATGTCTCCAACAGCCGTTGATAGAACGCGTGTCCTATTCCAAACTTTATACACCTCTGACGGGTGGCGAGTGGCAACCTCAAATTCCAACTTTCATAAATACCACGCATTTTCTCCATGATTCTCCAATCTCCCGGCCGTCTATCGTTGAATCACCAAGATTGACTGAATTTATCCGTACTAGCTGGAAAGAGAAATTACCATCACAGCAATGGGGTCTCAGAAACGAAAGTCTCCGCGAAATGCGGCTGCAGCGCCAAATAAAAGCAACAAAGAGCTTTCGGGAAGTCATGGGCCCGGTCGCAAAGCCGAGGCGGGCACTTTACAATTCTTGATAGCAGTGGGTGGTATCTATGGATCATTGTAAGCAGCTACTTTGGATTCCCTCTCTTCCCGCCAAAAACAGCAACAGATCGAGTTTAACACCTTTCTCTACTAGTTTAACCTGGGCACTACTCCAGGAGCGCCTCACGACCACCCCGTACGGTCCTTTGACGGCACCTGAATTCTTCAAGTTTCCTGTTGTTCTTAATACATTTCAGTCCCTCTGTGCTGCCCTAATTGGCTGTGTTTACCTTCGCCTCACAACAAGTGGCGGCCCGAAGGCCCCGATATTCCCAAACTTCGGCATATTTTTGCCATTACTGATTGTCGCAATCACATCTTCACTTGCCTCGCCCTTTGGCTACGCCTCCCTTGCTCACATAGACTATATCACATTCACCTTGGCTAAGTCTTGCAAGTTACTTCCGGTTATGTTTCTGAACATTAGCCTCTTTCAGAAAAGATACCCCATATATAAGTACCTTGTAGTCCTGACCGTCACCCTTGGGGTAGCAGTCTTCACCCTCAATACTGGATCGGGAAAGAAGAAAACTTCCCAAGCTGCTCTGAATCCTGACCGCAATCGTGCATGGGGGCTTTTACTCTTAGGCATCAACTTACTTTTTGATGGCTTAACAAACACGACACAGGATTACATTTTCCAATCCTTTCAACCATACAAAGGACCACAGATGATGTGCGCAAACAACATAATTAGTTCAGCCCTCACCCTTATTTATCTGACCTTCTCTCCCTATCTAATGCAGACATGGATTGGAGCGTATCTTGGAGCCAATGTCCCTTTGTCCATGGGCGATGGTGGAGGAGAGTTGGCATCAGCACTAGCTTTCATGGCACGTCATCCATGGGTCTGGCTCGATGTAATTGGCTTCGCCCTTTGTGGAGCTGTTGGTCAAGTCTTTATCTGTATGTCATATCCCAGTGAAATGACGAGGATAGATAAGCCGATTTTTGATGGCTAACCTTTCCATTTTCTAGTTTACACCTTATCAACCTTTTCATCGCTCCTACTAGTGACGATAACTGTAACGCGAAAGATGTTGACGATGATTCTCTCAGTTGTATGGTTTGGCCATACCCTTGCCCCGACCCAGTGGCTTGGAGTAAGTTTAGTCTTTGGTGGAATTGGAGCGGAAGGTATCATGGCTCGGCGAGGGAAGTCTACTGGCAGCACAAAGACCCCGGCTACGACAAAGAAAGAGCTGTAGCACCCTGTGTATACGGTAACTTGCTCCTTAATATTGTATTATAGTTTGCCTTCGAGCTTTTGTAACACCCAGACATAGGCGCAAAAACTGTAAATCTCATGTAGGCGTAATTGGATAAATTGCAGCTCCACCATGGCAAGATTTCTTGATAAGGGTATTGAGCCTATTTATCTAGAATCATCGGAGACTGAGCTGGCGTGAACACGCAAAGTAGAGTGATTCTAAGTCCACTGGCTATATGTGTGTATACGTGTAGATTGATCTTGAAACTGCAGCCATTTGGACTCTGTTAGTCATAAGACATGGGTAATACAACTATCTGCTTGTGAAGAATGTGTAGGACCGTCAATTCCAGGTCAGTTGTTCCTTATTGGTTCCCTTGATTGGTTCAATGTTCATCTTTGGTTGATCAGAATTGCAACCCCTCTTTTATCTATTACCCACTCCAAGGAAGACTATGGAGAGCTCTGGCTGCATTGCCACGCTTCTATCATGGCACCGGCTAGGGCTGAAAAGGCCATAACTGCTGGTAAATGCCGCTTTCACCTTCTAGTCTCGTCGCTCCGATAAGTGCCTAAAGGCGGAGTGGTATTGTCCCCACTTCGCCTTTGATCTGGTACGGTTTTGGTCGGGTTTAGCCCTAGAGCGTTGCCGCGGGGTCAAGATATGCAGGGGTGGCGCGCGAATCGAGCGGTAGCGAGGCCAGAGCTCCGCGCGTGCGCGTGCATGTATCAAGCGGGAAGTTGGCTGTCGGAGAAACTTCACGAAAGCCAGGGTAGTAAGTCCGTCTATGCACCAATTCCTCGGATCGATAGCCGTCCCCTACTGTCAGTCCTCCAACCAGACCTTATCGTCCCCCTCTTTCCTTGATCACAGTGCAAGATTCTCGTTGCAGCCGTTCCGAAATTCTCGTCGGGACACTTAGCTCTTCATCACATTCCCAAGCATGCATTGCGTGATAAATTGTCCAAACTTGGAATCGAGAGCGGAGACGGACTATGTTCAGGCCGGTGACACCAGAGGATGTGGCGAACAGAGATGGCCTGCCATCATGTCAGTTGGGATGCTGATCTGCCGCAGCCCCTTGTCTGCAGAGAGCAAACGTCCTTTCACGCCAACCTTCAGTGGGCCCGGCAAACGAGGCCATGAAAATTGTAGCAGGTACCATGGAAAGAGCTAACCCCTATCAGCAAGTTGGACGCAAAAAAGCCCTCTCTTACATCATCATTATCCTCCTCTTCTTTTCTCAGACTCAAAGATGGGATATCCGTAAATTGGGTCCTCTACGAATCTACAATTGGATTCTTCTATCGGACCCGAGTTTCGGGAAAACCTCGTAATACCGGCATCGTGTGCTAGGGGATTTCAGACCTCCACCCATACTAATTTTTTGCCATCACCAAGGTCACACTTTTTACTAAACTACGTAAGGTCTGTAGATACGACGCTATAGATCCTTTTCTATCGATCTTACACCTCTCCTGCACATTTCCGGGCTTCAGATGGTCTTAAATTTCGCGTCCGCGACCCTGCAAATATCCGACAGACTACCTGACCAGCTACGTATCAGTATAAGGAGCTAGATATTTGAGAATAACAATAGAGATAGGAGGATTCATGAACAAAATTAGTTTGAGGCCGAATAGCTGGAAGAGATAGAAATCGGACCTGCTGCACAAGAGATTTTGCGATAAGATACAGAAAGTTAAAAAGGGCAAATAGTCTATTATCTGGGTTAGCTATGCCTAGATACAGTAAAGTTATCGACGCAATTTTCGACTTAAGAAGTCCAGTCTCAGATAATACATGCTTCGCGCGGTCAATAGGCAGGAAAATGATGCTATGTTGGAGCAGCCCACGCAATTTTACGCGGAAGGAGTATGCTATTATGGGAAACACCTAATATGGAGGCCAAAGTTAATTCTATGCATCAACCTCTAATGATATCAACTAGTGCACAGATAGTGTGAATTTACAATGTCAATATTTTTTGATCGTTTGACAGGCTTGATTATCAATAAAGAACTAGCCTTTACTGTTTTTTTACCATGAGAGCGGTGCAGTAGACAAATACCTACGTTCACCATTATCATTAGTCAATAAAAAGGTACCTTGACCCTCAAGTGGTGCCGATATAAACGCTTATTCTAGTCTGCATATACGAGATAGTCAAAAAGAATCGGATCCGAATCGAAGTAAAAAGCTTATCTAGATTCAACAACTTCTCATCAATAACTGTGCTACAATTCTCACATGAATCTTCTATCCTAACATCACCAAAAAATCATACCTCATCGACCAATTAAGTAGCTGCATAAATTATAAACAAGAGCTTGCCTCACCAACCATCGACTTTACTCCACTCTAGAATAAAAGTGATACGTATACCCGAAGTGAGTCAAAGAAGTTGTAACATATAAATCTCATGTTTTATCTTATATCGGGTTGCTATTCTAATGGGACTTCGGAGGGATGACAAGTAGCTGGGGTATGGAAAGAGAGAAGTAGTCATCAATGCGCACTCTTCTTCCATTTTTTTCAAGAGTATCTTGACTTTGAAGTATTTGCTGGCTCCAAGACCAAGAACTCGGATAGTGCTACCGACTTTTCAAAAACGTAATGCAACATGCTTACTGCCGCAGATGGAAGTGTGAGAAAATGTCGTAGACTATTACTACTACAACTGTCACAAGTTAGGAGGGCAAAACTGAACACCTGTACGCGGTGTCCTCTACGAACCTGGGAGTGAAAGATTCTTCCAGAGCCAAATTCAGTCATGTTTCGCAATACTGAATAAGTTGGCCTACGAGGCAATGATTTGATACTTCCAACCAAATGAATACCTTACTTCAAACAAGACCAATTCAAGCCAAAGTCTCATTAGTCATGTCATATTAGTGATGTGCTACATAGACGGTAGGACTAATATTGATACACCTTCATGTATTTATACTATTTGGTTCGCACAACAAGCACATCATTTGTCGTCGCAAATATATAATTATTTTAATATAATTAACGCTGACTCTGATAAGAAATCCACTTGCGATTAATTTATCTCCCTCTATTTTCGTCAATCGAAATTCGCTGAAAACCTACCACTTATCACTAAGCTATTGACACAACCCAACCTAGCCCTGCGCTCTACACTCATAAAAATGTGGGATCATTACTAAGCGCAACCGCCTGCCTCTAGTAGCGATTCGTATCTACCTGGAGTAGACTGGGATACTTCCAGCATAAACATATAGCAAGACTCGGAAATCATCACCCTAGATAATGATTAGCCCCAGGCTGTCTCTCAAGGATGCGGGACTATTCTCAACACTTGTCATTGGTGTCACCTATAAACCTCCAGATCTCACTGTAGAGTCTGCAGAGCCGAGATTGAGTAACAAAGTCCTCACTTCGACGAGGATTCCCAATCGCTTTCGCGGTCTATAATGTCTTCATATGTCAACACATTCCCCTATCACCATTATCATGAAGCTAATCACGATCAGATGAGATGATAGGGTCGGAGCCCTACTCATCACCAACCCTTGATCATGGAGAAGGAGCCATCCGATGAGTTTCTGGAGCGTACCCAGCTTCCGATACGGCGGTGGTTGATTGGATCAAGTTGGCCTCTTTTTTGAAAAAAGAGAGATATGGGCGGATATACACACTTCGCCTGGCTAGGGCTATAGGTTTATTGAGAAATTTTCCGGCGTACGCAGTTTCCATTGCTACCATTTTTTTTTGGGTAGAAGGTTCCATGGAATAGGTGGCCGAATTCCATGGGTAAATGCTGAGCTGAATGGCTATTCATCAAGGGCAATATATCAATGATCTTTCAAGAAACATGAGAGGCAAGGAGCACTGTACAAGGTGTGGCCTGGGTCAGAGAGGAGCCCAATGTGCTAGATAGTCTATAACTCAAGTAGTACAATAAACACACATATAATCACATTGTGCCTCTCAGGGATGAGGTTTGGATGGTGTTCCATGGGGTGTGTTAGATGGTCTAATAAATTTCTAGGTGGTAAGCGAAGATAATAATGGGGTCAAAGGGCTGACAGGTCTTTTCTAGATAGAGACAAATAGGCAACTAGTTGCGGTAGATGATAAACGTGGGTCTTTGTGATGAATAACTGGGAAATGGATAGATGGTTTGCCCGAAGAAGAGATAGGTAAACAAATGTATTGTAAATGATAAGTAAAGAAGGCGTTGCTTGAAGAGAAAAGCTCTTACACGATGACCCATTATATATAGAGATAGAAATATTTGATAGCCTGGATTTTTTTTTTTAAATCATTTAATGTGTATTCAGCTATCTAGCTATGACACATGACCGGCGCTATGTATACATGTGGGATGACTCTTTTGACGTTAGACACGCTCATACTCTGGATTTCATTTGCAAATACCACTATGAGGTATGTTCGCTAACACAAACAGTCGACCCTCCTCCGTTAGTACCCACCAAAGGGAATTTAAAACCCTTTGATTATCCATGCATACCAGCGCCGCGAGAAATGTGGTTGTGTTTTGCCGGATTCGAACCAGCGATCTACTGTCTCAAGTGGGATATGTGTCCAAGCTATCCAGACTCTACTTGGCAGACCGGCCAAGATGATGTACCACCGCACCATCCAACCATGGCAGTTTTTATAGTGTCGCCTGCACTCGATAGCCTGGATTAAACATAAGTGATACCTACCCATTTCTTTGTATTGATGAAACTGTGCTAGTTATTCTTCTCATGACTCTTTTTAGTTGTCCCTGAATGATGCTCTGCATTACTCATTCGCTGAATAAGCTAAGACGGCTCTATCTGCTACAATCCAACACCCATTTGCTTCATGATATTTTCCCTGTTAGTTTTAGAATTGCTGATGCGTGAAACTGTCCCTCCATCTGCTCCAATCTTCTTTGGTAATTGTCGGAATTTTAGCTTTGTAGTTGTATTTCTTGGGCTAGGTTACTGGCGTTTGCACCCGAGATGATTGCCACTTGG